ATAGGAAGGAAGGAAGGAAGGAAGGAAGGAAGGAAGGAAGGAAGGAAGGAAGGAAGGAAGGAAGGAAGGAAGGAAGGAAGGAAGGAAGGAAGGAAGGAAGGAAGGAAAGAAAGAAAGAAAGAAAGAAAGAAAGAAAGAAAGAAAGAGTAAAAAACAAACAAAGCCTATTAGTTTTGAATACTTTGTATGCAACAGAGATATATTCACTATCTTAACTGTAATTTTAAACTACAGCACTTTCAAGCTCATATTCTGCTTTAGGATCAGCATTATCACAACAGAAGACAGTGGATTAGAGAACAGAGTAAATCAGAAGCGCAGCTTCCAAAGCAGTGATTGATCTGCATCTCTGGGATTTCAGTTAATTCTGGCATTAATCCTGGGGAAACTCAATCTGCTATCCCATGTGCAAGAGTTCCTGCACAGAAGATCAAGAACAGGGAAATTATTTCCCCAAGTTTCGAGAACACAAACCTCTGAATACATGCCTTGGAGTTCCTTTTAACTCTATCTGCTAGTACAATTTAATAGGTTATTAAAACTAAACTAACTGAAAGTGTAATTAAAAAACTACTATGCATACAAGTAGTAAAACAATTGTTTTCTCTGGTGCAATTGTAAGTAGAAAAGTAATCAGCATCTTATAAGCCTGATTTGACTAGCACGCTCAGCAGGATGCAGACATTACTTGTTTTCCCAAAATTCCTATCCTTTTACTACTTTCATGCTATGCTGAGGTAACTACAGCCATTGACGTTCTTGCCAATATTTAAGTAGCTGAGTTATTGTTACAGATCAGTGCTGCATGCTGGTATGCCACAAGCAGCAATCCACTTCTGTGTTTCTAACAGTTTCCATAAAAACGGTGACAGCCCTGTAAAACATCCGTACAGAATTATTCATTTAGCAACACCGGTTATACGAGAAACAAATCTGTTGCTCACAAAGATAAACGATCAAACTGAAAAATACTTGCTCCTAACTCGAGGACTAGGTTTAGAAATACAGGCTGATTAAAGTCTGCGCTCTGAATGCTGAAAAGGAAGCATTATTTCACTTTAGTCAGATAGGTTGTATCAGCATAGTACTGTTATGTATGTGTAGAAGCAACACTAGCGGGGATAATACGGGAGGGGGGGGGGGAGGGGGGGGGGAATGGGGAGGGGGGAGGGAGTTGGGGGGAAAGTAAAATCACCTAGAGGTGGTTTTACTTAGTTTTCAAAGTGTTACAAACTAACAATTCACTGCAATTACTAATAAATTACTATATTGTAAAAGGAATAGTATAATTAGCATAGAATATAAACATAGTATACATTGTACATAACAACAGCATTATAGCATGTAGTATTTCCTTTGGTAATTTGCTATCCAGAACTATTAACGTAAGCGCATTCTCAAGCAATGTGTTGATAATACAAACATAAAACGAAAGCCCTGTATATTACCAAGAGAAGAAAAACAGAACAAAACTAAAGACAGCACTTACAGTTTCTCAAAACAAACAAAGAAAACCTCAGTGTAAATTGTTTGACAATTCCCAGAAACATAATCCACCAAAAATTAGAAACCAAAAAACAGATCTGTGGTTTTGTATTTCAAAGAAACAGAAATGTTACAATACAAGAGGCTTTGAATAGATTACAGGGTGCACCACTTGTGTCCAGCTCCTTTTCAAGGTTGCAGTCTGTATTTGATGTTTTCAGAAGTGAAGCAAGAGAGGCCTGTAGTAAACAAGGAGCTTAAGTATTGGTGCTATTCAACAATGGCATTGAGCTTGACACTTTGACTTGAATCTTCAAAGTGTTTTTCGTTCCAAGCATATCTTGAAGCATTGAAAAAGCAGGGAAGGAATAAGCTGCAGGCACTGGCAGACACTTTGAAGAAAACTGTTGGAAGAGAAAGGGAAGAAAAAATATATGAGAGCTACTCCAAAAGTAATGTCTCATATTTTATTATGCCGGCTCATGACATCAGAGGCAAATGTTGGTGGTATGGCAGCAGAGGTTGCATGTTTCTGCTAAGATTCTGTGTTATATTTTGTTGCTGTGTGACAAATGGCAGCTGAGGGGCAGTTTGACGGAATGGCATCTGACACAGAAGTGGAAATGGAGCAAAGTGGTGGCTCCATGCAGAAGAAGTGGCACCCATGGACATTTGCTGACTTTTGCTGAACATTTCTGAAGACCAAGCAGTGGATATGAGCACAGAGAGGCGGTGGGTGCTGCGTTTCAGCAGTGGTGACAGTGGGTCACATCCACTGGCACAGGTTTGTATGAGCACGGCATGCAGGCTCTTGTTCATAGCCGGTGAAAATGCATAGCTGCTGGTGGTGGTCATGCTGAAAAGAGTTCCTTGTAACTGACAATTTTCTGTCTCACATAATGTCATTGTGCTCTTTGTATCTGCTGTACTTTCCATGGAAATAAATAGGAGGCACTACTTTCAGAATGACCTGTGTATATATAAGGGTCATGTAGCAGTTTCCAAAACTATTATTTTGCTATGAATGGAAGAGCTGCAGAAGGGTGAGATAGGGACACAACTCCAAACTTCATTTAAATGATTAATGAGTTGATATTGAAGAAGTAATTTATTCTTCTCTTTTCCACTACAATTTTTTTCTTCCTTTCAACTAATAGAAAAGCCATACTGAAGACCATACAGGGACAGCAGCAGCCCTTCAACTCCAAAGTCAACTTTGATTAAAAAAAAAAACCCCATGTTATGTAAGGATTTCAAAGAGGGAACAATATATATTGTAGAATCTGCTGACTAGGAAGAAGTCTAACTGAAGAGAACCATAATTTCCCCTCAGTATTCTTAAGAGCTGACCTGTCTGTTCATTGAAATTACCATATCCCATTTTGAAGAATTTCTTTCCTTTTCCAGAGTGCCTGAAGAAATGCCAAGCTGCCCAAGAGAGACAGCTTCATAACAATATAAAAAAATTTGCTGTCCTCTTCTGCACATAGAGATTTTGGTGTTTTTTCTTTTAATTTAACTTCATAAAGAATGACAATTACATGGATATGCTTTTGCAATGTATACTAGAAGCAAAGTTTTACAAGGATTGACATAGACATGGATCTAGATTTAGATTTCATCTGCTTATGCTCTTTCTGGTTAGAATTCACAGTGACATTGCTACCAAATCCATATAAGGAATAAGCAACATGGGAAAAGAAGTCAGCAGCGCTGATGCCAGTAACTCACTGCACACATATCCAGATAGAAATTTTGTTTTAGCTCACAAGCCTGCCTGCAATTGCAAATTTGCTAGGAGCATTTTTATTCTACGACTTAAAAGAATAGAAGACTATTTTCTCTGTAATGCCCAAATTACCCAGAGCAGTCAAAAAGAAAGGAACGCAGAGCTTAGTGATTATCTCGAACATACCAGCTTGATGTTCCAGCAGCAGCAGCTTTCACGAGTTGCTCAACTTCTTACATGAGTTGCCCCTATTGATTGCAAAAAATAATTACGCAGAGACAGGTTGTCTGCATTGTTCTATAGCCCATTTAATATTAACCTTGAATGCAGTTCTATCTTTCTCTTCCCCTTTTGTCCACCCCAGCCAGTATTCTGTTTAAACATGGAAAGAGTTATGGAATATGGTTAGTAAAATAGCTAAGAATTTGCTTAGATGAAACTTCAAGGACATGAAAGGAAGAGTTGAAAGAAAAGTAAAGTAGCCAAGGAAATAATTCTATCCATCATTCCTTGCACTGAGGTGGTAGATTGCTTGCTATGTTTTCCTAGTGAAAATATGCAAAAGACAAACATTTTTAGAAGTAGTGTATGGCTTTGAGTTACAGTGTGCTGCATAAACTCAACTCACCATTTATTATTGTGGCATAGCCCTCTCCTAATGATGGTAAAAAAGATTAGGTGGCTCAAAATATCATGAGTTGGATTTGATCCCCTTCCAACATGGGATATTCTGTGACTCTGTGAAAGCTATCCACACAATTCTGATGTTTGAAAAAAGCATTAAAAAGCTAACAACTGAAATAATATCAGAGAAGTGCTAAGTTGCAATTTCTTCCCTTGCTCCCTTGATCTTCAGCATAACTTTTTGAAAATCCTAAAGCTATCACATAAATGTAAATGTACATAATGGGTTCTTTTTTCCCCAACTTTTTTTTTTCTTTTTTTCTTTTTTAAATGGTAATAGATTTCTTAATTTCAGTGTATAAAAATGGGGAAAAAAACCCCAAAATCCTAAAGAATCTAGGATACCATTTTTTCTCCTCTACTTGGACCCCCAGTACTTAACTTGCATAGCTCAGCTCTGTCACAGTTCAGCCTGGCTTGGCCTGGTTCCATGATGGAGGGGCAAAACCAAGATCCCAAAACCTGGATGCTGGCATAGGGCTCTCCAAAATTAACCAAAACCTGAGCTCCTAACTCTGCTTTTGTGTACAGCCAGTGACACTAGCAACTCCCAGGTAAAGCTCCAGTCACATACTGGAAGTAATGCTGCCTTGTGCTGTTGCAAACCCTCATCAAGTATTTAACTCTTCAACAATTTACCAAAAAAATGCAGTACTGACCAGCACCCTTTAATACAGTCATCCCACAGCACAGTTATGCCACTTGTGAGAACAAAGTCAGACAGTATTAAGGACTCTACCCAGTAAGGAAAGGTATACTCATCTGTGGCCTACATTTCAAGCCATACATTTCATCTGGTTTTTCATATTTTCTGCTCAGCTGCATTTGTGTTCTCCTTATAAGCACATTTTACATCTTTCCTTTTTCATAGCAAAATAAGAAAGTACCCAGTCTTTAGTTTGATAGCTCTGGAAACTATTTAATAGCAGTGCTGACTCATGAATACACATTTCCTTTTTCACTTGAAGCAAAGAAATTAAATACCACAGAGACTGCTCTACAGCAAAAATCCAAATAAGTTGGGAGTGAAACTGCATTAGGCTATAACACACTGATACGCTTTCAAGATTCAGCCAAGCTTTTCTTCTTGCAACTGTGATAAGTGCTGGCATATTCTTCTGGCAAAGTGATGTTAAGAACTTCAGCATGTTTGCATACTTGCTAGGGTAGATGAAAAACCCACTAAAGATGAAAAAAGTGGTCTAAGAATTTGGGGCAGAAGGGAGGGAGCACTGCATTCAGAAAACATCTATTAAATTCACTGCTGCATAGCAGAAAGCCCAACTCTCTATGAAAACTACAGAAAAATGAAAAACAGGATTTTTTCATCCCAGTGAAAATATCCATAACAGTGGATATTTTAAGGGTTTTATTTTACATTTCGTCTGCTTCTCTGAAAACATTTCCCTTTCCCAACCTTACCCTAATATAAACTGAAAAGCCACGAAAAGTTTAAAAGAAATGTCAATTTTTTTTTGCTACAATAACAGAAAAAAAAAAAAAAAAAAAGACTGAAATGTTTTGATGCTTACATATCACAAGTCTTTCAATAAAAATACTTTTAATTTCCCAAGGGAGGAGTTTCCTATGAAAGACTTCACCTCCAATGTTTTCTCAAAACACCCTGATCATCGGTATGTGTGGAACAAATCAAGTTGCTCGTGTTCACCAAAGAAAATGAATACAAAAGCGATAACAGGCTTTATTGGTAGTCTTGCCGAGTTAAAGAAGGTGACATGAACATAAAACGAAAAAGAGTTGTGTTTCACAGTGATTTGGAGGTGAGTTCATACCCTTCCTTCATGCTTCTCTGACATCAGTAATTATCTGAGGAAGGAACAGGATGGTCTGCTGATATGTTACAGAAATAGAAATTTAATATGTACTTTTAAGATAGGTGCTCAGAACGTATTAAAGGGTTATGTTTAAAGGAAATACAGCTCAGGAGCCAGGGAGAACAATGCTGACACCAAGTGGAAGAAAATGTTGCTGCAAACTTGAGATGGATCTCTGAGCCACAAGTCTTCTCAAGCCACAAGTGCAGTAAATTTTAATAAACATCAGAGGAAGGCCGCAGGGTCCTCTGAAAGTAGAACTTTGTGTTATCCTAACATGTACACTATATTAATTGAGTCTCTTCCCTGTGTTGCAGCTGGCCTTGATAAGCAACACACCCACCTACCATTCTAAACACATCAGATACTTCTCTCCATTGTGAACTGCAAATAAGACTCTTCAATCTGCAATCAACATACGGTCTGCAAGTCTGGCTTGGTAGGAGCTTTCAAGATGCTCTGTTCACAGCAAAACTGAAAACAGGCATTCACAGACTGAGAGGTAACAAAGGTAAATCTCCATTACTGCTTAGTTTGTTTCTGTACAGCATATCACCTCTCAGTGTTTTTCCAATTCAGGAAAGGCGTATGTCAGCAATCAGTTTTAGAAAGACCTTTCCCACTCACATTCTTTATGCCATTATTGAATGGCTGATGGTGATCAATGTCATCAGCTTGTGCAATCCACTTGAGCACTATTTCTGAATTATTCATCACATTAAAGAATCATAGGACTTCAATGTAACTGGCTTCTCTCTTCATGTTCAAGTCACTTGCTGAAGTAAAGTGCAGCTAAGAGTGTGCTTCAAAGACTGCAGAACACGCCTTCTCCTACCCCTATTCTCTCCTAGCACAACTTTCACCAGCCAAAGAAAAATGGAAGTAACATTGTCTAGATGTCACAGGGAGCAGGGAGGTAGTGGCAAAATCCACTAAGTCACAGAAAATATTTAAGTGTGACAGCACTCATACAGTAAGGCAGCAGAAAGCCCCAACAATGTTGGAGCAAGCATTAAATGTGTCACATTTACTCCACACCTTGTAGTTTGCTAAAAACAGAAACCAGGCATATTTGTCATTTCAGACTTACAGACCTCCACCACAAAGGCAGGTCTACTGAAGACCATAGGCACGGCTCAGAAATAACATCACACATTACCATATCCCCTCTGCTCTTCACCTATCAATGGGAAGGCTTTGCCATTGAAGACCTAGAATGTGTACTGAATATTCCAGCTACCTCCAGTAAGTCTTTTTAAGTCACAACTGCCTAATACAGTGCTCTTTATCAAATCCTTGTGCTTGCAGTCAGTAAAATATTTTTCTTTGTTTATCCAGAAGAAGAAAAAAAAAACATTTTCACAATATATTACCCATAATTTCTGTGGAGATCCAAGTCCTGCTCTGATTCTCAATGTGTGGCATTTTTAATCCAGTCTTCTGGTTTGGACAGCTCCCAGACTCAAACTTAGAACTTAATGTTTAACGAGCCCATGCTTTCACAAAATTTACAAAGGTCAGAAAAAATACTTTTCCTGTGGAATGGGAAGTAATATAAAGAAATCTTTCTATAGCATAACAGCAAGCCCTACAGAAGCACTGAAAAATCTCTTGGCAGTTCAAATGCTACACACAGAACTCGCTATGTTCACAACTCAACTAGAAGTTATCTTTGCAATGCAGAGAACTTATGTGAAAGAAAATAATCAGGATTGTATCAGTTAGAAAAAAATGCTAAACCCACAAATATGAATCAGAACTATGAGACTCTATCCATGAAAAATTACACTGGCAGGATGCTTTAGTCTAACCTGGAAGCTTGAGTTTACTAACTCTTAAGATCACATTTGTTTTGTTTTGTTTTTTTGTTTTTTTTGGGTTTTTTTGAAAGTTTTCAACTAATTTCAAAAGCATTATCATGGGATTAGCGAAGGAAAACATCATTTAAATTATGAGCTGTCCTTGAAATTGAGGACAGCCCACTTGGAAAACTGCAAATCTTTTTTTATATCAACTTCAAACAAAAGTGAAGCATCGATTTTTCTTTTTATCTTTTTTTTAAACAAGTCGGTTAATGTGGAAACATCCACAATCCTCATTGAAAAATGCTAAAAACCTGACACTAAGAAAACTCCCTAAACCACAAAGAGCCATCTCAATAAAACTGTAAGTCAAACAGATAAATTCTCCATAAAATATTTAGCTGCAGTAAGCCGACCAACTCAAACCTCATTGTACAGTTTCAGAAATCCACTCTGAGGTGTCTGTGGTCTTTCTGAAGGACTGGAAGAGAGTTCAGCTCCCCTCTCCTAGCAATGGCTCTCTGTAATCACTTTTCAGTAGGGCTCCACTATTGCAGAGAATAACTACATAGTCTCTGCAGCCTTGCTGATAAAAAGGGAAGCACACATAAAGGTCACAGGAAGAAGAGAAAACAAAAAATGAGAGTTATTTCCTCAGGGTTTTAGCTTTTCTTTTAATTAACTGAAGGATGGGATGCAGTGGTGTGCACACACCAAAAAAGTCGTGCTTCTGTTTGCTTAGTTCAGGAAGGATTTATCTATCATGCTTCAGCACAGAGATGAGATATGAAAAAGCACTCTAAAACTCCATGCCAAACAAACAAACAAACAAACAAACAAACAAACAAACAAATAAATAATCGATCCAGTCGTTTCTTAACCCAGAACATAAGATTTGGAAATAATGATGAAAGAGTATGACAAATCACTACTAGCAAGGTTTGATTTATAATTTAATTCACTTACATGGCATAATCTTCTACAAAAAGCGCACCCCAACAGCAATAAAAAGATCCCTCAATTTAAATAGCTGAAAATGCGAACATCAGTGTAACTGCTTCAAGTTACTTCAGGAGAAACAGCCAGTAAAAGCAAGTTTCATTTTCAGGAAGCAACAAGGGATCTGAGCCACGTTTGCCATTTCACTTTTTGCTTGCTTTGCTGGAACTAGTTCATGCACGTTGACTGTGTTTACTTTGTAAACCTAACTTTCATGTTTCTCATTTAGTGGACTTTTAGCAATTGTTGTATTATGAAAGATGAAGAGTACCTATCCAATATGCTGGATTTCCTGCCAGAAATTACAAAAGAAAGATCAACCACAGAATTCTAAATTCCCTTCTCACCACAGATGGGATTTCTTTCATAAGCTTACCTCAGAGCAGGAGAGTGCCTCGTGGCTATGCTTCATCTGGACTTTTATTAAAGAACTTGAAAGGATTTTTTTCACAATACTTCTTTCCCACATCACCACAAGCCCAGACAGACTGTGACATTCTGCAGAATTACAGGGAGTGAAGTTCCTTCTAAAACAGTCATTGAAATAGAATGCCAAGTCTCTTGGCTTTTCCAAGACATTTCCAATTTCCTCTTGCTACTGTAAAAATACATAGTTATTGTGAGCAGAAGCATATACAGTTGGATGGTCTTGCACACTCATTTGAGTACATGTTTCAGGGATTCTCAAAGATAGCAGTGACATAGGAGAGTATGACGGGAGGTAGAAGTGTGTGTTTCGATGCTATCTATATGAATTGACTAGGATTTTAGATTTGGAATCATTTCATAAACTTCTTTGCACTGGTGTCTTCTGTTCTCTGTACCTATGATTATACAGAATTTTTCAGGATTTTTTTTTTATAGAGAGGTGTTCCAAGAAGAATGACAGTCCCAATATTCTCCTTGCAGATATAGAACATGCTCTACATATGAACTGTGACTTAGCATTATAAAAGTCTGCTGATTTTTCCTTACTGCAGAAAATTAAGTAAGAAGCCAAAAAGAATGGAGTCACAAACGTGAGACTCATGATCTTCAATTACATACAATTTAAAACTATTTAATAATACTCTACATGATCTGTTATCCTTCTAATCATCTAGGCATGACTTGCAAGGATTTGTGGTAACTTCATGGTATGTAGTATGAGACAGCAGGCCTTACTACTACATGCCCCTCCAGTTTTTTTTCTAAAAAAAATCAATTTCAAATTAGGCAGTAATGATATGTGGCATCACAAACTGAAAACTAAACTTATATTGACCTTCCCCCCTAAAGCAACAATGGTCTATCAAGGTTCTTCCACCAGGAGATTTTTGACAAATGAAGCCAACAAGAAATCAAAGTACTAACATTCTTTTAAAGAAGAACATGTCGCCCAAGGAGAATCTCAGACAGTTCAGCAAAATATGGAAAGATGAAATGGGTTTCACTCTTCTGTATTTTGCTCCCCTGACTCACCAGTGTATAGCAATACGGTATAAAGAGTTTCAGCAGGGGAAAAATTCAGTGGCTTTGATCTAACAAATTTATGCATTAAGATATTTAAAATGGAAAACATTGGAATTCTATTCCTGACTCAGTTCTTATACTATTACATTTGCATTTTTTCAAAAATCAGAATTTTAACTTCTGTTTCCCCTCTAGCTTATGCATGTGATGAATAAGTATTCACAGTACTCGCAAGTAGCTGTGGTCAGTACCTAAACTACATACAAAGTAAATTATTTCCATTTGTAGCTTACAAGTCAATTAAGCACTTTTTTTGACCTTGCTGAATCAGTTCATGTAACTTTCTTACCTGGAGGCCATCTGCTTGTCTTGGTGAGAAATAAGGGTTCACATCAACAAAAAGCATCTCATAGTGCTGAAGCAAATACAGCAGGAGGCCATTGTAAAGCCTTTGTTCTTCACAAGCCAAGGGACTGACGGGAATCCTAAGGGAAGAACAGATAGATCAAGTTTCAGAGCTCTGAGATCAGGGGCTAGTGATAAGTCATGCAGGAAGCACCCCTAATACCCCAAACAATTCAGAATGCAGCCTGTTGAATAACTGGATAAAACAAGTGTTCTAGCCCCCTTGCTAATATGCAATTGTTGGGGTGGGAGTCATCTCCATTTGCTGGGGGTCACGATACTGCGGAGCTCACAGTGATAGAGTCTCAGTTTGCTAAAGCTACTCACATCACACTGAATCTTTGATGCAGTACAACAATATAGCTAGAGCCTGACAGTTTCTCAGCTGTGAAGTTCATAAAATCAAGGATGAAGAGGACAAAAAAAAAAAAAAAAAAAAAGCCTCAAAAATCTGCCTCTACTCAAAGGCACAAGGGCTTAAAGAGCTGTTTTGCTGTTTCAGCTTCTGACGGTGAATTTTGATGACTCAAATATTAAGAGAACAGCCTGTGGGGAAAAAAGAAAATTGTAAGTAAGACAGTGTTTCAATATAATAATTTGTAATTTCATAGACTTTGGTCACATGTAGCAGAATTTCCAGCTGCTCTCAATAATAGATGGTCCATCATGGGATTTTTTATTATTATTTAATAAGTGGTAGTTTAACTTGTTCTATCCATACAAGTAGACTAAGTTGGAATAATTTAATTTAAATCTGGGGATTCATTAGGTGGCATTGTAATCTCATTCCCTGAAGGGACTGTGTATTCCCATCGTGACCTATCTGGAGGCTCGGAGGACATTTGCATATAAATTTGTTGCCTAATCCAGCTTCCCTAGTTATGCTGCATCAACTCAATTCTACGCAGCATGATATTATTATTTAAACAAGAAATTCATAAACTCTGGAGACTAAAGAAGAGAAATGCACACACCAGTCTTCTGTTTGCCAAATCGGTACGTTCCTTATTCATTTGCAATTCTGAAGTACGAATATATGGACCAGGTCCAGCCCAAGTGCTTTTGTTTTCACATTTTACTTTTACCTACTGTTGTTTCTGTAAGAGCTTCGGCTTCTTTTAAAGGAGAATGTTTTAAGCAGAGTTACACGCAGATGTAACTTAGTTGCACTGGATAAACTGCCTGATCAGCAAGCACTTCTTTCTTCAGGACTGGCTAACAATTCTCCCTCTTGAATTCCTCTTTTTCTCAAAACTTCATCAATTTCTCAAAAAACAAAGCAAAACAAAAATAAAAATCCTCTTTTTCAGGCTTGTTAATAGAGCACACAGCAACCTCATGAGACTACTCATACTTTACCCAAACATTAATACCCTCAATTCACAGTTGCTACAAGGAATCTTTTCTGTTCCCTGCCTTCTTTTTCATCGGCTTAAACATTTGTTCTCTAATTTCCCAACTCTTTACTATGTTAGCATGGAGCATTCCACAAGTCATTCTTTGAGACAAACAGCTCTCTCCATATTTACTGGGGCTCACATTCGCACAGTACTACTGAGTGCTCCATTCTAAGTCAGCTTTAGACAAACCAAAGCAATACTCAGAATGCGGCCCTACTGCTAACTCCAAATATCAGATATCTGCAGATATTCACAGGTGGCAACACATGAGGATTCCAAATATAGAAAGAACATTTTTAGTTTTCTCTGCAGCCACATTCCACATTCAGTTTCAATTAGTTCTGCAAAACAAGCACTTCCTGCCTCTTCAGACACTTCTGCTTCTAGCAGAAACTAATCATCAGGCTGACAAGAGGAGCTGTGTTCATTCTGCACTGACCAGGAATATGTTCCTAGGAAGGGCATAGCTACTGGAGCACATGCTGCACTTTAGCTCAAAAACTCTTTTGTAGTACAAATCAAACACAAAAGAACTCTAAAAATGAGAAATAAAACTTGATTTGTCAGGAATCAATTAATGTTTTCCTTGAGAAATCCTAAATCTTTCAAAGTTGCTTTGCCACAGAGCACAAGCTAGAAAATTCATACACGCTTTGCCTTGGTTTTATTCAGGAGACCTGCCAAGGTTCCTTGCTGGCAGAAGCTTACATGTAAGACTTGCTGTAAATTTACAGAAAGAATGAGTCAAAATGAGTAGATGCAAACAGATAGTTGGCTAGCATCCTTACACACACATCCAAGAACTGTTAACTGTGGTTAGCAAAAATCTCTTTAGCAAGATGAGGCATAGCGAAGTACACACAGAAACCTAAGTAATACAGGTCAAATCTCTGATAAAAGAAAAGCAACATTCTCTCTTCTCAGCACTTGTGCAGGCTAACAGGACACGAAACAGCTCACAAGAAGGATGAATAGCGATAGAAATGAATAGTTCAGAGGATGAGCAGAAAGAATTCACTGGTGGAAACTGAAAGAAAAATGGGCCTCAGCAAAGAAAATCTAGGGAGTAACCAGTGTAACTCTTGACCTATGAGCTACTTTTTTGGCTCCCTCACCTACAAGGAGGTGAGGACGTGATAGCTGCATTGTGCAGATTTTAATGCTGAAGTTTTAAAAAGCAAGACACAAATGCCTCAAAATCTCAAAAAAAGGCTCAAAATGTAAGAGAATGGTGTCACAGGAAGAAAAAAACAGAAGCTGGTTTATGAAGACTAAAGTGAAAATTGGAATATTTTACTCAGTTACCGTTTTTTCTGATATTTACCTTTTTTTTTTTATTGACACTTTTGGTCCTATCACACCAAACAGGGACAAGAAGTATATGTGCCACTAATATAATAGAGAATAATTCCAGTGTAAAAATGTTTTCAATCAAATACTCAAAACAAGCAGGGCTAAGGTAAAGGGTTGCAACAGATTAAAACCAGAGAAGTGATATTTAATAGCCAGTTTTCACATGGTGATTTTTTTTAGCATTTAAAATTCAAAGTAGTAAGTTTTCTGTGTTCCTGTAACTAGTCTTCCAGTGTAATGCCTATGCTAAGGCTTGTAATTTCTATGTTGAGATAATGTACTTAATAGCTGTTCGGTATACACAGTTTAGGTTGGCAAGGTGTAATTAGCAACAAGTTTTATATTCTAATTTTGTGTCCCAAAATCCATAACTGATCCATGGTCCAATTACTGAAATACTAAACTCCATCACTTTAGTGAAGTGTACAGGAAATGTTGAGTCACAGCCTGAAGTGCTGATTGAGCACCTGCAGAAAGGACCTGGTCAGCCCTGGGAGCACAGGTGAAGGCAATGCAGCTGTGTGACTGGAAGGCATGGAGCCTGGTTGCACCTCTCTTAGATCCATTTAAGGGCTGACTGCCACAGGGGAAGTTTTCTTCCTGGAGAATTCTCTCTGGTGGAGCTTTCCTCTGGGAACCTGGAATCTTCTGATATCGGTAAGCAATCTTTTTCCCTTCCCTTATAGCGCCTTTCTATCATGCTGATCCTCCCATCATACTGATTTGCCCAATTGCTACAGTGAACTATGAACATGACAGGTCTCCACATTGAAACTGTCAACAGATTTAGACAGGTAATAATTGAAAATCGAATTTATGCTTGAATATCAACAGATTGAAAACTAAAGCAGAACAGTATAATGAATAACCCAACATAAAAGCAGGAAGACATTGTTATACTGAAAATGCAGAGTACCAGTATAGGTGAAGAACAGTTAACACCTGCAACAAATTAATGTCACAACCATAGTTAATGTTACATCCAGGAAGATATTTCCAACAACAGCATGGGGTGTATGTTTCTGTAGATTAGAATTAAAATTGTATTTTCCACAAGCCATACGTTCTGAAGCAGAACTATATTCAAAGTATGGCAAGGAGTACTCAGTATGTCTCACTTTCCTGTTTATCTGTAGCCTAGGTGCCAAGCATTTAATGATGTTGCAGCTAATCGTGCAAAGGTCCTTCTTTGAGAGACTTAATGGTAATGTATGGCTTTATTCCCCGTGCCGTGCTTGACTACCTAGAAATTAATCTGGTACAGGAAAATACAGAAGTTTGCTCTGAATCTTGGAGGCCTCAGGCTACTCAGCAGGAAGCAGTACAGCAATCTTACTGAAAGAAAATGCCAGTTGAAAGGCTCTCCTCCCCACCCAATTACCAGAAAGGTGATTTTTCACAATTCTGTAAAGTAGCTCTCAAGGACAGCACTAGCTACACACTTCACAAAAAAGAAAATGACCTACTGGTTTACCTCTCCCAGAGCTGGTGAGATCAGAATGACTATAAAAAGCATTAACATTCACTTTCATTGGGTAGATACACTTCTATTTAAGACACTGTGCTGTCTTAACAAATCTCTCTGGCAGGGAAACTCAAAGCTGATAATTTCTGAGGCTTCTCATACAAATTACTGCCACAAACATTTAGTTTAGCATTAAGTGAACTCTAAAAAAAAACCCAAACAAACAGGCATGATTGGAACTAGCTTGAGGATCTCCCAAAATAGATTAGGATGCTTAAAAACTGGAAGAGTTTATCAATTAAAAATGGAACCCACTTGGTTCTTCTGCAGGGATAAAGAAATCTGTGGGCATAGATTCAAATAATTTGGGAAAAGAGTAATAAAACATTAAGTCTACATGCACACAAGCTAAATGTGATGGCAAAGGTGCCTTAGGATACAAGTGTGACAGTCAGTGCAGTCCTTGCTGAGTTAGCGTGGGGTGAGGTCTGGATTTTTGATGAAGGCTTTTTAGCATCAATCTTTTTTACCTATTCTAAGTATCATGCAACTAGCCCAGACACTTGAAGCAAATCTCATTTGCCTACACTTATTAGTTAATAAGCTTTCAGTACACAGGTATTAAGGGGTTTTGTTGTACAACTGCTTTGTTCCACTGGAGTCCCGTGGAGTAGGCTCCATGGTGAAGACTATTCTTGTAAGAGTGAATGCTATAAGCCCTCTCACACTACACACTGCTAGATAAGTCTCTCCAGCTGTTTTTTGTTTTTTGTTTTTGTTTTTTTTTTTAACTTGCAAGAGTTTATAAGCTGTACGCCCTGTATTAAGCTCTCAGAGCAGAGAAAAAGACATGGAGCACCCTGAAAATGCTGAGCACAGTTCCCCAAAACAAAGATTGTCATTACTTTCTAACATATATTCAGTGAAATTGGTACCAAGTATGCTTTTTAAAAATCTGCCTTTGAAAAATTTGCCACATTAAGAAGTAGGAGGAAAAAAACACAAGAGTTCTATTGCTATATAGAAAATGCCAATAGTTAATAAAAATCTTGCAAATAGACATTAGCTTGTAATTCACACTAAGCTGGAATGACTGATCCACTGAAACAAAGGTTTACGAATTTTGAAAGAAGTATAAACACTTCATTGCTTTTCTGTGTCAATGTGAAGGATTGGATGAAGTGCTGAGATTTCAGTTTCTCTGGGAAACCCAGCACTGTCAGACCATTCCAGGCTGCTGCTTCTTACCACCTTGACTGACCTGACATATGCTCTCCCACCTTTCTTTTTTAGCACCCAGTTTAGTGTCTGGCCTCTACCATTTCAAATGCACCTTCAGCAGCTTCAGCACCTACTGCTTGCAAGCAGAGCTGCCAACTGTTGAGGTATTGACATGCAATTCAGTGGCACCAATATATCCAAAACTCTCTCGACGAAGAATACAATGAATTACTTGCGCATCTTGGAGAGACACTAGCCCATAATATTCTGTACAGACATTTAACTTTCAAAATGCTATGCTTACTATTGGATATGTTATGATAGAAAGCCTTATTTTTAAGGTGTGATCATGTAGTACTCACTTGAAAAGAGCAGGTCCAAACACAATGGCTAAATTTTCCAGAGTCATGCAATTCACTGCACTGTACGTTGCTACCTTTAACAGGAATGCAGACAGGAACTGGAGAAGGTTTTGATGTGCTTTGGGAAGGCAGCTAATTAACTGTCTCAGATTCTTTATGCACTCTGTAGTGTCAGTCCTGTGCTCTGTATTTTAAAAAAAAAATATTTCATAGTTATTCCTGGTAATAACAACCTCACCAGAGACATTAAAATATTTGTTCTGTGCTTTACTCTTAGTATGTATTCTAAATGAAGAATTTATACACTAAATTTTAGTAACTATTTTCACAGATTTCCCAGATAACAAGTTTTATATGCACTGTTTATGCTATTCTTCCTGCTAGGATAGAAGAAGCTAGTACTTGTTGCTTTTTTAGTAAAGCTGATAACAGGCAGTAATCATGTACATGAATCTTTAAGGCTGCCTTGAGGACATAAGATTATCAGCCTTGATTTTCCACAGAGATCTGACGCATGCTGTTTGCCTCTCGTTAAGAGGTATAAGAAATAGTACCCCTTCAGTCCCAACTCACCTCCATTTCCTGACTAATTAGTAGGTCTCCATCTCAAAACAATTTTGCTCTATAAATACATGAGTGTAGTTACACGAGATGCTCAAAAAAAAAAAACTAAATTGTGGATACTTAGCATTTCCTTGATTCCCATTCTTCAAAGAAATGTTACAAGGCAAAATTGTCTCCCTGTTTGATCAGCAATTCAGAATTAGAGTGATAAAGTCTCCTGGATATTAGAACTGAAATGTCAGTGCTGCTCAGTAACTGGCAGCTGATGCCCAAATTTGCTGTAGATCTCCAGGACACATCTGTGTAGCTTTAATACTGTGAAGAGCAAATCAATCCTTTAGGGCAATTGTAACCCTAAAAAATACATTTCATAGAAATTAAGACCCATGTTGCTCAACATATTAATGAAAAGGAGTTGGAATGGAGGAGGAAAAAAAGAAAGAACAAGCAAGATTATTCAGGGTACTCAAAACATGATGATTGCAAAAATTTGTGGAAACAGAAAGATCTTTCAGCACAATCTTTTAGAGTTGATGAAAGTGATTTTCTGTGGTCTTTTTTTGTCATCACTGTTGTATTGATTTTTGTTTTTTTTTTTTTTCTTTTTTCTGAAGTATTTATATAACTTATATAGCATTAGCAATTAGCAGATGGAGTTTGAACAAGAGCAACCCAGTCTAACCCATAAAACACACTTATTTGTACACAAAAACTTGAACTGGTTATCACTGAAAAGCACTTGCTGTAATTGCCTGAAAGCATTAGCTACCATCCATGGTAGAGTTTTATTTTATTTTACACATTAAGAACTATCAGCGGGAACAGGGAACTAGACAGCATTGCTCTAAGCAACTCCTTCTGGCTTTGCAATTAAAATACTTCAACCATTCCATGCCACCCACTGCTTCAAGGAAGTTGGTAAGAAAATTGGTAAAAAGTACTGCATCAGAACAGGGAATAAAAAGGTTGCTGTACGAGGAAATGTGAAATAGTGAAGATTTGGCTTTGGAAAGAGAGATGTGAGGCAGTAGATAAATAAACGTAATATTATGGTGATTAGATTAAAAAATGGTATCTCAGCAGTTAGTAAAGCAGTGAATCTTTTGGAGAAGGAAGCTTAGAAATGTCCATTCTGTACCTTGGAAAGTTTTTAGCATGCCAGCACAGACGTTGTCTGGAAGAACAGCCACTGGCAGTTCATTTAAAAACAGTTTCAGAAGGCTGGCCACAGAATCAACATCTCCATGATTAATGAGGTCTACTTCTTCTCCCTGATTGTACTTCTGCTTCAGTTCCTTGATTTTATTCACTGAACCACTGATTCGAAATATACCAACATGCTGCAGACCTGCTCAAGAAGAAGTATGAAGCAGTAAGCAAGAGTCATATATCATACCTATGTGGTGAGAACTGCATCTTAAATTTAAAAGTTCTTTAAAAAAGCACAATAATAGAAATAGATGATGGAAGTGCTGAGTATTTACAGCTTAAATGTACAGTTTATGTAAAAAAAAAAAAGTAACAACAGCTCTCAGAGAGCAGAGAAGACAAAACATTAACCTACCAAATACTTCTAGATACTCCACCATCTGTGTGACAAGAGAGGGGACTCCACATTGCGTTGCATTCTTTGCGAGAGCTTCTAGAGGAACACCAAATGCTCTTTCTCTGCTGAACCGTGGATCTGGTGAAACTTTACTTGTTGTGTGCCTGACTTGAATAGAAGATAATGATTTCTGGGGAATTAAAACAGGCAAGATAGAAGAAGTAGTTGATTTTCCTTCATTTTAAGGTTGAAGAGTCTAACATTTTAGTTATAATTATTGTGCTCATTAGAATCATGGAATATCCAGAACTGAAGGGAACCCACCAGGAACATTGAGTCCAACTCTTGAGGCTCCACAAAGGACCATCCAAAATCAAGCTCCATTTCTGAGATCATCATCTAAAACCCCCCTGATCTCTGGCCAGCCTGGGGCCCTGATCACAGCTCTGGGAACCTTTTTCCATGCCCACCGCCCTCTGGTGCAAAACTTCTTCCTGATACTCAACCTGCCCCTCCCCTGACGCAGCTCCACGCTGTTCCTTCAGGCCCTGTCACTGTCACAGAGAGCAGAGCTCAGCACTGCCCCTCTGCTACCTTTGAGGAGCTGTAGCTGCCATGAGGTCTCCCCTCAGCTCCTCTGCTCTGGGTTGAGCAAACAAACGGGCTCTGTTGCTCTTCATACATCTTATCTTACAGATCTTTAACCTTCACAGCCTTCCTTTGGAAGCTCTCTAATAGCCTTGTATCCCTCTGAAGTTGCAGCGCACAGTGCCCAAGGTGAGACTGCACCAGCTCACAGTAGAGGCTCTTTGCACATGTTTTACCTCCACTGCACATTCCTAACATTGTAGACTGTTAATATCTTCCTTCTTTAGAGCTGAGATGGGACCTGTGAACACTTCAACCATAAAAATCCAGATACAGGTGGTGTTTGAAGAGCCCTGGAGAGCAGCAGCATGGAGCTGTCAGCCCTGCGGAGCCAGGTGCTCAGCTGATGCTTATTGTGGTTTCCACACATAGACATGCCTATAACTGCACATAGACACAACCTAACACTACAGTTCAGCAAGAAATCCAGCCAAGGAAGCTTAAAACATAGAGGGCTGTGAGTAGTAGCTGTAGGTCTCTTGGGAGGTCCTAGTGGTGGGGCCTTCACCACAGCCTGCTGATGAGAAGAGCAGCATGGCACAGCAGCAGTCGTTCCGAGTTCCACGAGCCTCCCATTGCTTCTGTATTCAAATCCAGGTGGCCACAAGTCACAAGCTTAACCTGAAGCCCTGAAAGGTACATGTGCTATTTATGTCAGCTGTTCCATGAGAACACTCCTGGGCATTGCTATAACCACACCAGCCTCCCTGGCAATCAAACCTTCTGCTTTGGAAACTGGGTTCCTGTGTAATGCAGACGCAGCATTACCTCAGCTACCAAAATACACAAAGCCAGGAGACTCAAGCAGCAACTGACCCCTTCCCTCCTGTTCTCTTGCTCCTAAGTAATGCAAACTTAACCCCTACATTCAGCATATTAAATCCAAAAAAATGCAACTTTCCATAAACCCTAGCTAATGGAAACCCATATTCTCAGCACATATGCTGTCACACTCTTAGCCAAACACACCTAATGTGTGAAAGCACATCGTTTTTGTAGCAGTACCCAACCAAACCCAAAGTTTGCTGCAGGCACCTGCTACCAGCACACTTCTCTGTCCACAGACTGACTCCTGAATTTCCCAGAAAAATACAAGTAGAAATCAACCAGTACCAGACCTAGCGAAGGGGAAAATGCCCCCACTTCCTTATTCTCCTTCCCTCCTCATACCCACTCCTCTGCATTTTGCCTTATGAAGTCCCTGGAGGTGTTCAAGGTGAGTTTTGATGGGGACCTGGGCAGCCTGGCCTAGTATTAAATGTGGAAGTTGGTGGCTTTACACATGGCAGGGGGGTTGGAACTTGATGATCTTTGGGGTCCCTTCCAACCCAAGATTTTCTATGATTCCATGATGTGGTATTATCCACTATGCTGCATTTTGTTCTCAATTTTCTTTCATGCAGGCCATGCTTTATCACATAGGAAAGGACTCATTTATTCAAAGCTTCACACAGCACAGAAAGCAGAATTCTAAACCCAAACCTTCCAGACTTACATGCTGGTATCAGTTCTGCATCTTTAGATTTAAACAAGCACCCACATTTCATTTTAAAGGGGGATTCTGATTTTTATGTTTTAATAGTGCCATCCTAACACATTACAAAACCTTCTTAAATGTTGTTATTACTATGTTATTATATTATATATAATATTATATAATTTTACAATATATGATATATAATATTATATATTATGTTGTTATTACTATGTTTCACTGCAAAAGGAAAAAGGAAAGACTTTCTCACAGATTCGTAGCTGAATTGCTACAGCAAAAGTAGCTTACAAAATGTACACCTTCAAGTTCTGGCTTGTGGCACTGTTGACTTGGCTTCTGTTCAGCTCTGTTGCCATGGCAAAAGTGCACAAACTGAAAAAACTAAACCTTATTCTGCTCTTTCAGTACATAATATGCAAGGTTAGAACATGATATTAATGCTAAAGAGCTAATGATTACTATAAAAAAAAAAAGCATAGAAAAATTAATGTATTTTAAACATTTTTTCTGTATAAGTTGTGACGTTAAAAAAGTCTCTATATTAAAAATATCTATGATATTTTACTCTAAAAGTCTCAGATACAACAACTGAGTTGAGAAAAGAAGAGCATCTTTCTCAGAAAACGAGAGAAGACATGAGAGAGACCCACGAAGCCAGACGTAATTTCACTTACACAGACTGAAAGGGAGGCACTTGCTCCCATATTAGCCTGGAGTATAGCAGTATTTCAGCTGTGCTGCTCGGAAGATACCATCACCTTTCTTCCCATTATAAGTCTGTGCAGTGCAGCCAAGACAAACTGCATCCATCAGGCTGTTCCTCTGTAATTAACTTATCGCAGCACAGTTGCTAAGTATCATATTCATCAGCAGTTTCACCCCGAGCATGTCCCAGGTAGAAGTTAACTCCTAGCAGAAGAGAATTCTTTGTAGCCAACACTTTCCTCCAGGCTCATATTGCAAAAGTTCACGGGTGTATTACCATTACGAGATGTCTCCATGGCACCTAATACACAATGGCACAGCTTCCTGAAAACCCATACATCATGTTTGATATTTAGTTTTGAGCAGCTTTTCCAATGCAAATTTGCAAATACTCATATTGCCTGCTGTCTGTTCTGTCTGCCAGGAGCAGTAAAATGTTTTGAGGTGGCCCACAGCATATGCGTATTATAGGTATACACTTATATAGCACCTACACAAACATCTTGGTAAGCATATGAGCAAGGATCCATCCAATCTTAGAAATAAAGTCATAGATGCTGTTAAGAACAACACACACAGTATTATAATTCCTTCAGATATTAATTCAATCCTATGAAATAAGCCAAAACAAAGCAGTTAATGTTGCCATTAAAAGTAACTGGGATAGATTCTTAACACAAATTTAGTCAATTTTGTAATCAGGTACATAGAAAGCAATAAACACAAATGATAAACACACAAAATTATAAACGGAGTAAAGGAACTTCCTTTCTAGGGTGCTACAAAAATGAATTACTCCATCAGCACACCAAATCAGTGGTTTAAGTACAGATGGAAAGTCCGTCTTCCTTAGTAGAGGGAGTATCACTTAAATATAATACAGATTTTTAGCCCTCTTACCTCTCCACAAGGTCCAGTGCTGCTCTCTGGAAATGCTTCAATTTAAAGTTTTCTTGCCTATGATCCAAGGTTTTCCTAATCATCTGGAGTGAATCAACAGGGCACACATGTGAGGACCCTGCTTTCACATTAGGGCACATTCACTACCACCGTTACACCCAGGTGCAGCGAGGACATGGCCAAACCTGTAGTAAGCAGGGTTCATATTCACACTGCTATCTCAGCATTCTCCAGATCTGGGTTTTTTAGCACTTGGAGTATCAGTCAATTACCTTGCTTTGCAACAGAAGATGCTAGCAGATTTAGCCACCCCAATGGGCATTTAATCTCTTCGTTTCATGGTTCACATGCTATTCCACAGTCCAGACAGTTTCCCCCAAAGCCCATTTAGTATCAGTGTCCCAGTGCAAGGTGTGAAGGGACAGCCAGTTCTGGTACACAGCAGCAGTGTCAAGGTGACTGCTTGGAACAAAAAGTGTGTCACATTTCCTTTTGTTCAAAGTCCCTCTGTTATTTTCTGTCAAGACACTGGGGTGGAAGAGAAGACTATGCAAGCATGGTGCTGCTATTGCCTTGTCCTCCTGTCAGGCAGCAACAGCTAGGCTTTCCTCCAGCACCAGAAAAACAGGGTTTTGAACATGCTCTGGGAAAGTGAAGAACAGGGCCCTCTCCCTTTGTGTTTGTGAAGGAAAAGGCTCAGAAGACAGCTGCAAGAGAAACAGTTGTGTAGATTACAGCCCAACACCATTTCAGCTCCCTCCTGCCCTTCTTGCCATCCTGGCCTGCACACAAAGCCACAGCAACAGGGACCTCTCTCATGCTCTGCCCATGGGCTGAACAGGGGGCTGATGTCACTTTTCCAGCAGCAGCACAGCCTTCCCCAGAACAGCAAGAAAGGAGACCCCATCATCACTACCTCCTGGTGTCCAGCCAGCTGAGCAGCATCCCATCACCACTGATATGCTCCACCTGGGCCCATAGCTACAGCTGTCTGAGAGGCCCTAAACCTGCCTGGATACCTCCAGCACTGCCACCCTATGAAATGACCAATTTCAAGCTCTTGCTCCTGCAGGCAGCACCCAGGCTGGTAGTACCATACCCCCAGGCAGCACATGTCCTGCCTGCAGCTGACAGTCATTCTATGCCTCACCTCCAAGCACAATTGTGAAATGATGACTGAGACGGGAATGACTACAGCTCTGCAACCACTAGTAGCAGTGAGAGGGTTCACTCACAGTCTGCGTCAATGCCCTGTCCAGATGAACTGCAGAGATACAGTACTGGCTGCAAGAACAGATGGCCCTGGAGCAGGACAAACAAGTACAGCTCATGGATGTTTATCTTCAAGAAAAGAAACCACACAAAAAGACTGATTAAAAAAAGACAACAAAATGTGTTGGTCCTGCAATACCCCATGGTGTGACTACTCTTCTCTGTCACAGCAATGTGGCTGTCCAGTGCTTATCTCTGAGAGGTTACAGTGGTATTTTGTTGCACTGAATCTCCTTTGGGATGGAAAAAAGCACAAAGCAGTCAGAGCCAGCAGCTCCCCAGCTAACTGTGCCTGCAGGCTGGTAGCTATCTGTTGTCCACAGAGTAACAAAAACCTGAGCCAAAAACCCCTAACCCGCTGCTCGCTGCCACACAGAGCATTTCTAACCCCCCATCTCTCTCTATTTCACAGAATGTGTCATAGCTGACACATTGCTCCCCCCTGCTTCAGCTGAACATTCAAACTCTAAGCACATACCTTTTAAAGCAACAAATTCCCTGCCTGAGCAGCATGCACAAGTTTTTTCTATTGGATCATCACAGCAGTAGCAGTGCAAACAAGGCAGTAGTGACTATAATCAGCCACTTGCTCTCTACTGTGTCCTTAACTGCAATTGTCCAATAATTTGTTTTCAAAACCTGCCTGCTGTGTCCAAAACCAGAATGCAGCAAGTGAAGTTTATGTAAAACTGAGATATTTCAGCTCTCCAGACAGCCTGCAGCAGCTAGAGGGCACACGAGGCATGCTGCAGAGGTGGTCCTGCAACCCTCACTGCAGACACAGCAAGGAAACCTAAGGCCTGAACAGTTTTCCTTTCATACAAAGCAACACAGTTCAAAGGGATGATTTCTCATTCTGACGTTGTATGAAGAACAGAAGGCCACACACATGACAAATGAAACATATTTCAGCCCAAACCCTTGTTCTGATTAAAATGAATTCCTGTAAGACTTCTGTTGTCTGAGTACAATGCACAGTGCTCTGAGCAGCCACCCTTACTTCAAGGGCTGCATCTAAATTAAAACCAAAACTTTCGGTCTCCTATCACCCTACTGACCTGGGGAAGGCTACTGAGAAAAGACAGTGCCCTGGCTTGGGTGGTGCAAGGAGGCTGGGGGAGCACTAGGGGTTGCTTTCGTACTTTTTTCACTTGGAAATGACCTCCAGCTTCAGGAGGGCTGCTTCTGAGGCCTGCTGATGTCTTGAAAAGAGAGGAAGAATATAAAACAATAAACATGGAAAGAAAATATAAAAGCTTCACTTTCTTCTTTAGAAAACTTTTTTTTTTTTTTTTTTTTTTTTTAAAGTAGAAGCATTAGAAACAACAGTATCCCTGTGGGAGAGGGCAGAGGTAGCTGCTGTGGTAAATAGTCTGTCAGCAGCAGTAAAAACAAAAAACAACAGCAGGAAGAAAAATAATTAACTGGAACTTTATGGTTCAGTTAGAGTTTTCCTTCAAAACTGCAAGCAGCCTGTTCTGAAGGTCCAGTAAGCTCAGTTTCAGGAGTCTCATGGCATGCAGTCAGATAGGAAGAAAAAGCCCTTCTTGGTGGGCAAGAGCCATCACAGCCAGAGCACGTGCCCTGCAGAGAGGCCATGGTGGGGTTGCAGCATGGGTAGCCACTTGCCCTGCCCTGGACCAGATCCAGCTGGAGAGACTGTAGTGGCTCTGGGTTAGAAGAAAACACCACAGAATGCAGCCCTGCTGATCCCAGCTGAAGAGTCACTTGCAAACCACAGATGCTAGATGCTCAAGATCAGAGGAGAATCGTAGGGTTCAAAAATAAACCAAGTTTGATCTAAAGCAAAGAAATTCAATCCAACTGCAACTGTTAGCCAGCCCTTCCATGACACGATCCTTATTAGCTAGTGAAAGCTTCACAGCAGCTTTTTTCAAGGATACATGGAAATACAATGCCAATGAAAAGGCAGCACTCATTTAAAGCACTGTCCACAGCAAAATGCTGTGTTTTAGTCATACTGCTTGTCTTCTGGTATCTAACTCATGTCATCTTAAAACAGAACTTATGATTCCCTGGTATGTGTTGTTGCCTTGTCGCATGTAGGTCTTTTACATTGTTTTTCACATGGATAACTGCAGTGAAGAAGAACCATTTCTCTGAGTGAGAAGGTCAGAGAACAGCCTAAATGCAAATTAACCAACTCTTGAAAACAGCACAAAATTTGTTCCATCTGTACTAAATAATCCAGACCCTCTGTGACTGCTCTGGTAGAGATGCCAAATTATGCTGTTGCTATAGGAAGATTATGAACTGTGTGGCATCCGGAACAGGGGGTATTACAATTCCACATAATCAACATCCAAGTCATTTCAGCTACTTTAACAATCTTTTCATTTCCATATCCCAAAACAAATGCCAGGTGAAAAAGCCCACTGGGCAGCATCTCAGAGAATCTCACAGTTAAAGGTGCTGCTTTTTTTTGCAGTTGCCAGCAGGCCAATCAGTGCATGTACCCAAACAGTACCCTGCAGCTGTGAGACCCATGACAACACTGCCTCTTGCCCATCCCAGTGCAGGGCCTTGGGGCAGTGCAGTGCAAAAAGGGCCAGGCAGACCATGTGAGAGCTGAGGGAAGCAGGGAAGGCACGGCAAGATGAGACAGCGTAAGAAGCTGATGGTGTAAAGCAAGGCATACAGGACTCCAGCAAATTGCTCTGCTGTACTCAGAACGATTTTGAAAAGCACAGTTTGTTTTGGGTGGGGAGCTTCAAGAAAAGTCTCTTGCATAAGCAGGGATGCAATTGCCCTGACTTTGTAATCCATATAGCTTTCTAAAAATAGGATAAAACACCATGACAGGCACACAAACCCATGCCAGCACCCATCAGAGCATGCTGACATATTACAGCTGACAGCTTCAGAAAGTAAGACGGGAAACACCGAAAGGCCCCCCCGATTTGTCTGAACAGAAGGAAAACACAGACAGAATTCTGTTGCCCATTCCCTGGTTCAAAATCTTTAAAACTGTCCAGTTCAGGAATGTATTCTCTTTTCTTTCTATGGAAACAGCATGATCCCTTGCTAAATTCACTATGATGCAACAGTTGCAACATCTGGGGCTTGACAACTCTTTCGTACTTACCCCATATAAAAGTATCCTTGAATTATCACAGAAAACATTCAGAGTCAGATACATACAGAGAAGTTTCCATCAGATGAACCCATCTTATTGGCCCCCAAAGTGGGTTTCATTGACACCACAGACACACAGCAGTCATCTATTTTGTTCCAATTAATCTTGAACCACTTGAAACTGAAAAATGAGTAAGTTATAAAAAATCTTGTATTTTAAAGGCAATTAGATGGAACTGGTGGTGAAACTACTGGATCTTTCATGAGGGACAATCAGTACTGAAGTGCAGAAGGAGAAAAATGCACACATTAGATAACTACTGACTAGAAATGAGTCATGAAAAAAAAAGGTATTTCTATACTTTAATCACTACTGCATATATATACACAATACTTTTCTCCATGATTTAGCTGCTAAAAGCCATAGTATAGACTTAAAAGAATGGTTGCCACACATCCCCCATCACAATATTTTGACTGCCTGCTCACCAAACTCAATTGTCAGATGTTGCTGTCCTGACAAGAAAGCAGCTCTCCCCTGTTGCATTGCTTTTCATCTACTTGTAGAAACAGTATACAGGCCACAATCCCTCCTACCAGGCAAGCTTAACAGCTGCCTTAACAGCAATGTCCCCCACCCCCCAACCCAATTTTATTTCTGCTCACAGCTGATGAGGTAGGATCTCATCTCCTTGGGATGTGGATGCCTGGGGGACAAAGGCAGGTACATTTCCTGGCCAGACATGTGCAAGGAAACTGCCTCCTTCTCCATCAGCCAGGCACGTACCAGTCCAGTGTTGTGCCTGAGCAAATATCTCCTGAGTCACGGCAAGGCTATTATTTATTACTGTAGACGCAGCACTACATTAACCCACCTGGCAAGTTTGCAGTTGCTTTCCTCTATCTGCACCCATCTCTGGCAGTGAATGTGTTAGTGCCCTGCAGTGGCTCAGCAGAACCTGTTTCCAGGCAGCTGAATTACAGGCATGTGGAGAACTGTCCAACAAAACAGCAGGAGGCACATGTTAGGAATGCTTGATCACTTACCCTAGCTCCCCTGCACCCCCTTCCCCTGTTTAAACTCATGCATGTTTTCTTTCAAAGGCTTTAGAAAATCATAAGCTTTAGAAAATGGCATACTGGCTTGGCACTTTTTGCAGAACTGCAAGCACCATGTGGCAGGTCAATTGCTGACAGTGCTCTTCTCCACTTGGGGAGAAGTGGTATGAAGGTAAGCTGAAGCCTGCCTCTCCCTGCTTCCTGATTTCAATTTCATTTTCTTCCTCTAATCTCCATCTGGCACTCAAATCTCTTAAATTTCTTAATGCTGTTCCAGGGAAAGCAAGTCAGTATTCAAAATTCAGTATTGCTTCATTATCAAAGGCACTGTCTTGCTCTTGCTGCTAAAGAGCACAAGCATCAGGAAAAACAGCTGTGGGTATGGAGGAAGAAAAGCTCTTTTCAAGACTTACGAGTTATTTAAAACTCTTTTAAGACATATCACAAAGTTCAAAATGCATATGAATAAGGCTGATAACTGAGCTCTATATTCAGGGAATTAACTGAGTGAAAGTAAATCCCAAACTTTGACACAGATGGTAAATTTGAGAGGAAAAGTATTTCCAAAATAGCTGGGGTTAATATTTCTTACCAGTAGAGGTTCTGTGCAGTAAAAATTGAGCATAGATGCAAAGGCTTTTCTGCAACTAGACATCTATCACTGCTCCTTATCATACTTCATATGTCAGTATATACAGCATCTCTTACTGGAAAAGACACAAAGAAATACTTAGTGGGAAAGAAAACCATTCTCTCTCCACAGACAAATATTCAACCTGCTTCTTGGTGCAGGCCACACACACAAAAAAGAAGTTTCGGGAACAGGGGCTTGGTATGAAGGATTGTATTTGTAAAAGAGAACCTTTTCTTCTTTCCAGACAGATTTCTCTGCCATTTGCTAACGGTTGCCTCATTTTTCTCTGCTCCAAATTTCCTAAGCTGTCTTTTTCACTTCAAAGTGAATGTTAGCTTACAGCACTAGAAGTCAATATTTCTAGCATTACAATTGCACCAGAGTACAGAAAACATCTCAATAAGATTTGGCCTCTGCTGCAGCTATGGGTATTTTCCTGCAGTTAAGGGCACCTGGATTTTCTGCTAAGGCACTACAGCAATATTTGAATGAAGCTGACTGAAAGCAATTACTGAACATGCATTCAAATGTAATCAGGAAATGATAACTTAGGAGAATGTTCTTTCATTTTGGCTGATCCCAGGTTTTCTTCTCCAAGAAACAAGAATCTGAAAAATGAAACTTGAAGCAAAACAAAATACTCGTAATTATGGCTTGTTCCCTATCTGTTCATTTTCATATCATATTTGAATGCTGGACTAGCTTTAGCTAAAGCTGTTAAGGACCAGACCATTTCCTGCCACCCCAGTCATCCTCCCAAGAAGAAACATCTGCAACATCTAGCCTGACCAACCCGCGAGGCTCCATCTAGAACCTGGTCACCACTTTCTGATGATTTTCCATGGCTGATAAGAAACCTGACTCCCACCTACAGCTCTATACAGCTCATGGACTATGGACATCTATTTAAAGTAATCATCTCTGGCATAATATACTGCCATTTTACATAAATGATAGTTCCAGCACAATATTATCTCTTTGAAGAAATCTTTGAGAAGCTGCAAAGAAATAAAACACAGTTAGTCCTTGCCTGCTCTCTGCATCTAGCTTGAACAACATCTGAAGTGGGAACTGAAAAAAAAAAACAAAACAGCAGGAATACAGTAAGAGGAGACTTCAGCATCTTCCTGCACCATAAACATTGTCCAAACACATGTGGAAGCCAGGCAGAGGCAGGTTTCTATCTATATTCTTTCCTGTAGCATATTGATACCTTTAGTCTTTACTGATTCAGTATCATTTCAAATGAATTCACCTGAGCATTAACTCTGTCTTCTGCACCCTAGTGATACTAGCTCTTGAGCAAAATTAGCACTCAGAAAAGGTGGAAGACCCTCTAAAATGACATCTTCCCTTTATGAAACTCACATGGCAGCAGCAACTTCACTAGCTCTCCCCATTCCAGGCAAGATGAAGACCCTGTTTTCAGTAATCGAATCCGTCATATTCAAATTAAAGCCTCCAATTTCTGAAGCAACAAGGTACACAG